CCCCAAAACCCCAAAACCCCAAAACCCCAAAACCCCAAAACCCCAAAACCCCAATAAACACGAGCATAATTGAAACCCTGAAATGTCTTAAATGTACCCAAGTGCCAAATATGGAGAAAGCAGGATTTAAGCCAAAGTAGTAAAAATAAGAAATTTAGCCAAAATTTAAAGATCCACAATTACGTTAACTCCTCCAAACAGTTTTCCTCCAAAGAAACTTTTAGCGTCATTTTCCATTACTCCGCAGTCAGAGACATCTACTTCTTCAAGACTCAATCTTAAATCTGGAGAACTTGCTAACCCTAGTACCAAGTTCCTGAACTCTCCGTAGTTCTCCCACCAGTCGCTTCTACTCGAGTGTCCTGATCCGTTTAAACTTATTTTCTGGATTTGGCAATTCTTCAGAGCCTTCGACAAATCAGGAGTTCTTGGGATAGATAGCCAGCAATGTTCCAATCTCAAAGTTCTCACATGCCTGAAAGCTGCCACGAGCTTCTTGAGTTGGGGTGGGCCGATGCTGAAATTTTGAAATTCAACTTGTTCAACGACTTTGGAGCTGAGTCTGGTCAGGGAGTTTAAGTAGTTGGACCTTTTCAGATCCATTTGGTCATCGGATTTAAAATAGAGATTCTTAATTTTATTTGGGAATGAGGATTGTAAGAAATTTAAAACAAAACTCCTGTTTTTAGAATCAATCCAACCCAAAGTAAGATAACCTATATCAAAAACCTTAAGACACTTCAAACTTTTCATAAATTGTCTATCTCCGATGTCGTACATCGCCATGGTAAGCCAACCGTTTGCTGAAAATTCTTCGGAGTCTGGATCCGGTGGCTCAACTTTTTTATATGGAAGAATTTTATAGAGGATGCTCTGGCATGTGGTGACCTCTTGCTCCTTGGTTTCTGCCAGGACAGACTTCTCTAGGCTGCACAATTAGAGGTGAACGGGGAGGTAGATTAATGTCAGGATCCGTCAGAAAGTTGGAGATGAAAGGATGCTAATTCAGATTTTGAGAACTCCCAGGTTTAAGGCTTTAGGAGAAATGTTGTCTGTGGAGGTCCCAAATAAATCTAAGAGAGGCAAGGCTTATAAACTCTCTCTAGTTTTGCTATGAAATTGTCGGCCAAGAAATTTTCGGTGAAATTATTATAAAAGTTGGAAAATTTTTGGTTAAACTTTAAAGTTTTGGGACTTGTTACAAGTTTGAGAGTGAAAATTTAAAGTATTCTAAAACTAAGCTCTCAGTTACCGGATTATCTGGGTGTTCTCTTCTTCAATAGCTTTAGTAGTACTTTCCATTTATTATTTTAAAAACTTAAATGTAAATTTTATTTTTCAATATATCTGCAGAGGAGTGGGGTTTTGGGGTTTTGGGGTTTTGGGG